GCTACCATGGAAACATCACTCCCAGCAACATGCCATTCAATCCCACCCTCAATAGGCACCTTGTGCAGGCTGCAAATGCCATTGCAAGAGAATTGGGCACAGCTGCAAGGGACCAGTATGGTGCAGCCTCTCAGGGCCTTTGACTCATCAATATGCTTGATTTGATGGATGTCATTTGTTATCTGTGTTCTCCCTTTGAAAATTGTCCCAAGCCATTCATTGCCAGCCAATCACACCCATCTTGCCATTCTGTGGTAGAGATGGGTATCCTCTACTTGGCATGCTGGATTGAGGTGGCCTCTGTGCATCTGAAGCAGACTGCCAATATTGCAGGATGGCCTGTGCATTGGTTTGCAAACCTAGCAATGGACTTGGTAGGTTTTACATCAATTTTTCACAATGTGGGACTGATACATAATCCCTTCAGAATGAGTGATATAGCTTGATTCTGGTGACAGTGTTGCATGCCAGTTATACTCCTCCCCTCCCAGCATGCTACCATGCATACCTCAGACACCAAGATGATGAGGTTAGCTTCTGCAATCAAATGTAGCTAATTCCCCTTAGCACATTTTGCATAATCGACAATATCAGCACCATCATCCCACATTGGACCCCACATGCAGCTGATCCCAATTCTGGCTTTGCATTCCCTTAGTGGCTAAATTGTTCTGAGGAATACACAGCAGATTCCCAAAGATTGCAAGACAAGGGATTTTTTTAAGGTATGCCACTTATTCTCATTGCTGCAAATAGTTGATGATGGCCCAGGGCTTGTGGCCATTGCCTGAGGTGCCAATTGCAGACTGTCTCAATGGCCATATCAAGGAGCAGGTAAACTACTGCATCAAAAATATTTGGAAATATGCTAATGTTGTCAATGGTCAGGGTTGACAAATCAACCATTTCTACACTAGGTGGTGGGCATTGTGTGGGTTGTTGGGCATGCCACTTCAATAGTTTATATGTTTTTGACTGTGGAGTTGGTTGTATATACATTGCTGTAAAAGTTGATCATTTATGAGATACCACCCATTCACATGATGTCTGAACCCCTGCCCATCTGCATGATGTCTGACAATCCACCCATCTGCATGATGGCCTGAGTAGTTTTACTTTTGTTGCAGTTTATGATGCACACCCTTTAACTCTGAGTACCTGCCCAATCTATGATGTCTAAGCACCCACCCATTTGCAAAATCTTGGAAACACCACCTGTCCAAAGTTTGAGAGCCAGCATATCCTAATAAAATATGAGATCTGCATCACCTACTAAATCTTACATTAAATTTTGCAGCTTCAGATCAACAGTTCTCCAGTTGCAACCAGTCTAGGTAGTAGGTCATCCATCCACAGTGATTGACACATGGGAATGTGCACCAACTGATGCACATTTGCACACATGTAGTATGCCAGGCATGTTCTGTCACCATCTACAGCTCCCACCCCATGCTCCAATGCTGAACCTGAAAATGCAATGATTGTCCCTGGGTTGTAGTGCAGCCACAGATTCAATGTTGGAATGAAAAAGTCCAAGGGCAGGTAGTCACCCACAGTTACCAGCATGTCATACCATGGATCCTGTCCATTGATATCCCTGTGGTAACAAGTTGCCTGATTCACCATCATGGACATGCTGCTATACATGGAGCTCCATATCAGCAGTATGCAGCTCATATCTGAATCTGCCTGCTGTTCCACCTGTTCACCAAGGTAGATCAATGCTTCCCTGCCATCTGCATACATTTGTGGATGGATGACATGCAGGATTGCAGATAACAGGGCATTGGTGTCAGACATTTGGTCAACCCATTCCCTTGTAGAAGTGTTTTCCATCCTGGATTTGAGCAGCCATGAGGCTTCTGGGAAGCCATTTTGGGGCTTCAAGATGGATGAGCACTTTATTCACAAGGCAAGAAATGATCACCCACCCCATGACCCTGTTGAAACCATGTGGGTGACAGGTTGATGGTGCCCTTCAACTCAGCATTATCATGGAAATATGACTTGACAGTCTTCCATGCCTGTGGGGAACCCTTTATGCTCTCCCACAGTGGTTCCCTCAGAAGATGAAAGCAGTTCCATATGTCAGCCTGCCATTCAAGTCAGTAGAATATGAGATTCTGCATTTCCTTACCCTTCTTTTTGGGCTGAGAGCATCCAGCAAATACCATACACAGATAGTGGTTAAGTCAGTCACCAGAATGGACAGCTCAGTCACTTCTGTGTATCTCTCAGCAGCTTCTGCATTGAAGGTTTTTCCACCCTGATTTTTCCTGATGTTTACTGTGGAAAGATGAAAACTTCCATCACACCATTATGATGGACTTACTTGGGTGATGATAGGCCTGTGAGATTACTGACAATATGCAATCTGCTTCACATAACACCAGAAACAGAATCAATATATCTGGAAGGGCACAAGGTCTGCTGAATACCTCGTCTTGAAATCTGGCTTTCATGTATGATGCAATGCAGTCTGTTAGTTCCATTCACCATCTGTGGGGTGTTTTAGACATGTCTTGCATAATATTCATGCTTGGGGTGGATGAGGTTGGAGTTGTATAGTGGGTGAGCCACTTGCAGCTTGTTGAAAATTAGAGCACGTTGGGACACTTGCCTCAATATTTTACTGTGATCCAATCAATATGTTGTGACACTATACATGCTATTGCTGTTGGGCCCATCCATACATTATGACCATATAAATAATACTGCTGAAGGGCCTGTCCTTATGTTGTGACCACATAAATGATACTGCTGAAGGGCCCTTCCATATGTTGTGATGCTATAAATGATATTACTGATGGACCCATCTTTATGTTGTGACAGAGGCGCATCTTACTAGACAGGCCCATCTATGTGTTGTGACACTGTAAATGATATTATTGACAGGCCCATCCTTATGTTGTGACAGGGGCATATCTTACTAGACAGGCCCATCCATCTGTTGTGACAATGTAATTGATAACACTGACTGGCCTGTCTGCATGTTGTGACAAGGGTATATTATCCCAAAGATGGGCCCTTCCATGTGTTGCCAGCTCTGTAATCTATCATAGAGGGGCCCCTCTTTATGTTGTGACCCTATAAAGCATATGATGGGTGGGCCCATCCTGATATTGTGACTGGGGTGCACCCTACCATGGATGGGCCTGTCCATGTCTTACAGTAGCTCAGCATACTTAATTGGTTGTGGGCCTGTCTATATGTTGCAGCATCCTTACCCTCCACAGGCCCTCCCATATGTTGTGGAATTGCACTTACAGGCCCATACATATGTTGTCTCACTATAGGCCCTCAGGCCTGTCCATGTGTCATGGCTAATCTATTTAGATGGGCCTGTCATGGGGTCTATATAAGTGTTGGCATTTTGGCACACAGGCTACCTATATGTTGTGACTAAATGGACCACATGGGGTTGATATTTGGTGAGATTATAGCTTTGAGGGAGCATGTTTTCAGGTAACATATCATTATTCAGTAACAGTAGCATTTCTTTTGTGGGCAGTACATCTGAAAGGTTGGTACAATTGTACATCTGCATGCAGATGGTGCATGCTCCCTGACATAGTTGATCTGCAGTTACCTTCATCTGCCACTCATGAATGATATCACACTTTTCCAAAAATGTTTGTTTTGGAGGATAGGGACCACAGACCCTCTCATGTTCAGTCATCTTCTTTGTCTTAGGTCTGCTCACCATTTTCAGCACTTTTGTATTTTCACCTTTGTCATTTCTGTTGGTAGACACACTTGCATCTGATACATGAGAAACCTGCATTGCTTTCCAAATCACATCACTGTCATGTGGTTGTCTTAACCCTGAAACATGTACTGTAGGGTGGCACATGCCTGAATACATTGATGCTGCCCAAGCATGTCCTTACACATATGTCAATTCCAGTGGCTCCAGAGAACCACACCATGATGATGGGCTATTTTTCTCAGGTCAGACACTGAAGAATGGAAAGTGATCCATGAGCTCGTGCAGTACGTCAACGGAACATATTAATTTTGGGCCTGTCAGATATAAAGACATGTGAGTCACATCATGCTGATAGGCAACAGCCTTGAATGCATATTCTCGTCGAAACAAACTCGTAGCTGATATACTCATCACTATCTGAATCTGTGACGTCTACTAGCAAGCAATGAATGCCACTGCCTGTCATGACGAGCATGCGAATATTGTGGTAACAATGTGCTCCTCTCCTCTGCTTTCTTTACCCGCCCCTCAGGGTTTATGTCATCATCACATGACCAGAGTTCTGGTCCGTCATTACTTGTGAGCTTCAAAGGTGTCCCCAGACCTGGACTTCGACTGTGTCCAGGAATATTTACTGCTCTGGCCAGACATTCATCATCTAAGATAGACATTCTATAACAGCTCCCTTAGAAATACAATTATATGTACACTCATAAAAAAGTAATTGTCTCTGCACATGAGGCACTTCCTCCTGTGGCATCCAGGGGTGCCCGGAGAGGGCTTTGTATGATAATTTTTTATGTGTTACCGTAATGGTCACTCCCCCCCTCCGCCCCTCTGGGGATTCACATGTCAGTGTCCGGATTCCGACGAACCCACTCCTCTTGCTACAGACTGCACGTCCGTTTGCACGCCCTCCAACGTCACTTCGACAGAATCATCGCCGTCATCGATCCTGAGGTCGCAGGGACTCTTCTCTTTGCCTCCTGATGCGCCCCCCCTTCCTCACAGTTGTTGACGGAATATGTATGAGGCATCTATGCAGTCCGAGTCAAAGCTCGCATCCCGGCAGACGTAGGAGAGCTCGAGAATCGTAGTATCAAATGTTGACGGAGGTTCTGAGCATATCATCATTATAGGTGATTGTTGTTTTCCGCTACACTTTATGAGCATATAAAATACACGCGATCGAGGGAAGAAAAAAATCGAATAAAGACGATAATCTAGGTGGCTAAGCAAAAAGAAAGGTCAAGAACAAGAAACGGAAGGATGAAGACGCAACGAACGACTATTAAAATGAGCCATACACAGGCGATGACGATGACGAACCGACGTCTCCAGCGGCAGCGGTGGCATCGTCCAAATACTCGTCCAGCACACCGACAAGTTCCCGAACGAGAGCGTCCCTGTTCCATTCCGTACGGTGTCTCCAGACGCAACCAACACATATCGCTCGAAGCTGTTCAAGCATCTCCACCGAAAACTGGTCTGTCTTGGATGTCAGTTGATATTGGAAAGTCGACAGGAGCTCTCCATCGACGTGGAAGTCGGGCAGAGGGGTAGGCGGGCGCGAGGGTTCTCGTGGCGGTGGAGACACGACCATTGGCTCGGCGCTTAGATGTGAAGGTGCAGGATCGGCAGATGGGCGTACAGGTGTGCGTGGGGGAGAATGCAATGAAGGTATGGGTGGGAAGTGTGGGAGCTCGTTACTCTGCTGCTGCTGCGGTGGGGGGATAGGACTCGGCGTAGGGGTGGGATTACGACTACTGGAAGACGCATGCGTGTCTCCATTGAGCAGACGCGATATCGACATAGTCGGCATTTTTTCTGGTTGAGGCCGAGGCAGTATCGGGTCGACGACCAGGAACGGGTTGAAGCTGTCCTGACTTGACAAAGCGGCGGGTCGATAATGATGGTCGACAACCATCGTGTCCGGTCCAACTCCATTCTGTACGATGACCCCCGGACGTTGTTGAGGGGGCGGATCCGAAACGAAAGTAGATACCATGTCTTCCTGAACCAGTTGACCTCCATTCGCAAACCTGACCACGCTGGGCGCTTGTCGCTGCTGCGAGCTACTACAAGGCCTAATGAAATCGATCGGATCATGTTCGTCATCCTCGCTCGATACCGTCCGCGCCCGTTTCTGCTGTCTAGGGCTGGTACCAGACTCGACTTTGTCCTTGTCCTTGTCCTTGTCGTCTCCGGGTCCCGCATCAGGCGACCCCCCACCCGACATCTCACCAGACGAACGTGCACGCTTCAACCGTCTCTCAAGCTGGAGCGGATCCGTGATCTGAATTTCGGGCTGTTGTCCATTATGCCGTGCACTCCTACGCGTTCCCGGAGCGTACGCCCCATTCCCGTTCCCATTCTGCTCTGCACCACCACCATTCCCATTTGCCCTTTCTTTCTCTTTCTCTTTCTCCCTCTCCTTCCTTCTCTCCTCCCTTCTCTTCCGTTCACGCGCAGCCATCCTCCGACACTCCACCCCAAACTGCGGATCGAACTCCAACATAGACATTTCCGCCGCAGTCAACATCGCCTGGGCTTTATGCAACCGATCCGGATCTTTATGGACGCACACAGTCGCGTTGTGTACGATCTTCCGGATGTCGTCTAGGAAATCTTGAGGCGTGAGGTACTTGTCTTTGTACAGATCGATGTGCATCCGTTCCAGGTCCATGTCATACAATATGGGGAATTGAACGGTGGGATGCGGCTGCAGTTGCGGTTGCGGTGGTTGTGGTTCTGAAGTGTCAGGTTCCATCTGTCCTTGCTGCGGTATATGCGACGACTGCGCCTGGTTTTGGCTCGAAGAAGGAAACGATGACGGCGGTAGCAGTTGGACCTGCGCCTGAACCTGCGACAACATCGGATTGGTGGATGGTACCACCGACAAAGCTGACAGCCCTCCTGGTAGATGCACATCATGATGGTCATTACCACCATCCCCAACAATCCCATTCACTTCGCCAAGGTGGTGATGCACCACTTCTTGTACCTTCTCGTTGTTCGTCACCTCGACGATCCCGTTCACATCCTGAATCATGACGTTCGAAGAAGAGGCCACAATCTCAACTTCGGTCACTACACCGGTACCAGTGCCTCCAGCATCAGCACTATTTGCAGTATCAACAGCGTCACCAGTGGTGGTCGGCGGAATAACAGCATCGAAGTCATAATCTTCCTGTAACAAACAAATCATCAGCAACAACCAACCACCTCAGAATGAAGAAAATAATAATAATTAGGGTGCCGGCACTCACCCTAGCCCTTTTAGTAAACCTCTTGAACTTCCTCTTCAACTCCGTCAAGATCGGCCCCAACCGATATTTGAGCACCGTCATCACCTTCCGATCCGCCTCAACCTGTACCGCCAACTCCGCTGCACTCGGCTGTCTCGGTTCCGGTGGTGGTGCTAGCGGGAGAACCTCCAGCACGCGTTTGCGCCGTGCAATTCCATCAGGGTACGCGTTGGGAGGACGGCGGATGTCTGCGATGAGGGAGGCAAAGAAAGCCTCGCGGGATGCAGGCGTAGACGGGTCGAGCGCGATACGAGAACCACGTGTGATACCGAACCAGGTCTTCACGTCTGACGGTAACGACGACAAGGGCCCATCGGCGACGGCGAGAAGTAATACCTGATCGGTCGGCGAAAGAGACTCGAGCATCGCACGTACGGTTGAACGTGTTGCTTCGGGCACGGCGGTACACCAACTCAAGAGGGAGGGGATGTATATGACTGAAGGGGGATGTCGTTTTGCCTCGACGAATAGCTGGACGACGGCTGCATCGGGTGTCTGCAGCGCGCATGTCACGCGTGGTTTATAGAGTCATCAAAGAAAAAAAAAGAACGACTCTCACCCTTGTTGAGTCTCCCATTAACGTTCCCAAATCCAAGGTTTGGACATGACATCCTTCCAAATGATACAACGCTGCTGCACCGATGTGGGCTTGACCCATCCCCGCTGGACCATGGATGACCACACGCGGTCGAAAGACGCGCATCGTTTCCATCGCTGTTGTCCGATAGTTTTTGTACATGTCAATTCACGACGAACGAGAGAAGACTACGACACAGAAACAAAAAGAAGCACTCACACTGCATTATCATCTCCCTTTCCAATGCGCCCTCTTCCCCATTCCGATCCTCCCACTCAGCCTCCTCCAACGCTGACCGCTTCTTCTTCGACACCGGTAGGACTTTATCCATCGCAGACTTGACTCGGTCGAGGGCGTCTCCAAGAAGTGGAACGAGGTGTGCAGGGAGTGGGGACGCCGAGGTCGAAGTGGAACGTGCGGAAGAGGGTACAAGTTCTGTTTGGTGTGTACGTCAGTACATCTGTTCGCAAAAAGAAGACACTGAAGACTCACTGGGGATTGCAATCATAAAATCTCGCAATGTTACGCCGATAGTCTCCGGTTTGAGTAACAATCGATCGTTAGATTGATATATTTGCGGGTACCGTCTCTGTATCGCGTTCAAGGCTGCTTCCGTGCAGAGTGCCTGCGTACCGTCATCACGGGTTAACAGTCCTCACATCAACCAATACAACTCAACAACTCACCCTCAAATCAGCTCCACCGTATCCTTTTGTCATCCTAGCCAACCCTTTAACATTTTCTGCACCTTGCTCCCCTTCCCATCCCTGCCACTTCCTGGTCATAATGCCCAAGATCCTCTCTCGCGCTTCTACAGTTGGCAGAGGGAAATAAAACTCCCTATCAAACCTGCCTGGTCTCCTCAGCGCCGGATCGACCGCATCCGGTCGATTCGTCGCGCCAATGACGATGACCTGTCCGCGTCCGTCCATCCCATCCATCAACGCAAGAAGCGTCGATACGATCGAAGCGTGGATCTGGTCTTGTTTGGAGGACCGGACGGGTGCAAGGCCGTCGATTTCATCGAAGAAGATAATGCTGGGCTGGCAGGTGCGAGCTTCTTCGAAGAGAAGGCGAAGTTGACGTTCAGCTTCGCCGACCCATTTGGAGAGGCAGTCTGCGCCCTTGCGCATGAAGAAAGCTAGAACGAAAAGCAAGTTAGTGCGTGTATGCGTGAGTAAAGATAAGAACACCCACATATGCACTTGCCATTCGATCTACAAGTCGCTGCGAGTGCACGTGCCAGTAACGTCTTACCCGTCCCTGGAGGTCCATGGAAGAGTACCCCACGGGGAGGGGTGAGCCCAAAGCGCTGGAACACCTCGGGATAGAGAAGGGGCAGCAGAGTCATTTCTTTGAGCGCATGTATGTCTATTTCACTGTCAGCACGACACACGGAAATCCATTGTAGTAGCACGTACGATCGTCGAGGCCACCTATTTCGTCAAACGTCACGTTTTGGTTGACACCTAGTGGGTCGGCGTCGGCCAGAGCTACACACATAGTCAGCATTGAACAAACGACACAAAAGGCATACGTACCGGCTTCACCTATTTTACCAAGATTAGAGGGCGTTCCTGCCGTTGCAGCTGCAAAGTCGCCGGGTAGCAATCCCCCGGCAGACATGGCCCCGGCACCCAACAGCGCGCCGTCGCCCAGGTTCCTCCTGGGAGTTCTGAGAGGAACGTCCGAGTCCTAAAGTGGGCTCGATACGTGAGGATAGAGAAATGTCCATGCAAACGCACCGAGTCGTCATGCACACCCATCCACCTGCCAAGCTCTGCTCCCGTAGCGCTCCACCCTGGGCCGCGCCTCTTTCCGCCTCTTCCGCCCGTTGTACGATTCCTAGGAGGAGGAGGAGCTTTAAGTTCTTCCAGAGGGGGTGGCACGGCATAGTTTATCTTGGTGCGTCGACGGAACGCGTAAGGTCTGCCGTCTTCTTGCTCCACTTCCACTTCGCCTTCGCCTTCGGCGTCTGGGTCTGGTTCACCCTCTGCGTCTTGGTCCAGTTCAACGTCTGAGGATGTGCGTGGTGCGTTGGCTAAAGATGCCTCTGAGGACGAGCCGTCTGTTCCTTGGTCGACATAGCCGTCGTCGAGGTCGGCTGCTGTGCGCCGTGTCTTTCGTGTGGGGCGCTTCTGTTGTTCTCCTCGAGCGGCGACGGAATGGATGAAGCGCTGGGGCTGTCTGCTTACACGACCGCTTGACGTCTTTGGAGGAGGTGGCGTAGGTGGTTTCCGTCTCTCGCGGAGACGGTATTTCTTGGAATCTTCCTCATCAGAAACGATGAAATCAGCAAGCCCGGACCCACGTCTTGTCTTTGAGCGTGTAGAGCGTCGAGGTTGTTGGTCCTCCTCATCGTCATCATCCTGGTGGTTGCTGCGTCGAGAAGTGTTGTTTATGACGTGGTTGTCGTTGTTGAAGAGGTCGCTTGGGTCCTGCTCCGACTGCGACTCGTAGTAGTCAGGGCGTTTGATACGACGACCACCTCTTGTCTGAGTGAAAGGCTCTGGTTGTTGTTCCTCTGGTTCCTCCTGGTTGACGTCCATTTCGACGGGTTCGCTGCTGTCGTGATACTCTGAGCCACTCGCGGGCGACAGCATGCTATTATCATCCGGTTGGCGATGGCCTGCTGGTGGGAGTTTTATTGTGAGTCTGTCCCCTCCGCGACGACGAGGATGCATCCACGCTGACGTTGTTGTCGCTGTCGTCGTCGACTGAGCCGTCTTTGTGTTTGTCACCTGTGTTTGGTTGTGTTTGGCTGTGGCTGTTCCCCCACCTCCCTCGTCTCCCCGTCCCTACTTCATCCTCCCAGCTGGTCGCCCTTTGGATGGCCCATCCACCGCCATCCATCACCCACCACGGAATACGAGTCAGATAGCGGATGCATACGGTGGTATAATGCAATTCCACCCCGTCGTGGTCAGAGAGGATCAACTAGACAGGAAAAAAATGAGACACCGAAAATGAGGATAGCTTCATGGGGTCGTCGTGGTACAAATTCAACCTTCGAAAAATGTGCAAACGAATTTTTGTTGACCTTTTTTGCATTACACTCGACTGTCTGCGGTCGGTCGACTGGCCACGCAACCCCGCCACAGCCTGGATGAAGTTACGTCACATTGTGACCGTGGCATTACGTAAATGACTAGAATACATCATACAGCAACTGTTAGCATGAATGGTCGACGGCCAGGTGTCCACAATGAAAGTAACTACGCAGATCAGAAAGGAGGAACGGACGAAAGTCGACTTCCAAACTTACAAAGCATCACGAAAACGATAATCACAGGAAACCCTGGTTGCGCAAGCGTTGAATTTTCGTAAGAATAGCTGATATCCCCATTTTCTTAGCTGTCATCTAAACCGTATCCTCCTCTTTTTCGATCATTCGTCATTTAGCCTGATTTTCCATGCTACCAGAGCATCTGAGCCGGCGAAATCATGGCTCACAGAAGATGCTTTCCAGACCAAGACGGCTCCATGCCCTGGAACGGCAGCCCTACGATACCCTCTAATATCATAAACCTCGTTAAACCTTAGAATTCACCTATCACTGATCACCAGGTCACCTCTGAATCATTTCTCAGGGATCCCACCCAAGGTTATTCTCGAAGTTTGCTCACTCGTTACGTTGATACATGTATGTTCTCAAATTTGCACGTCACATGGTTACTCGAGCGTCTCGAGCATATTAAATGTTCCTGGAACAAGAACAAGACATAGTGTACTATACAAGGTATCTTGACGAATGTCCACTGGATATATGATACAATGTGATGGTATGTATACTCATGAGTTGAATAAACGCACTTGATAATGTATGTATGCCCCTGTGACTTATGCACCCACAGCACCATCACGACTTTTCCCCTTGACACTGCCCGGGCTCCTTCCCTCATACACTACATCATGAACCACATCCCGTGTGTGCTCCAATTCCTGCTCATCCGACATACAGGGACTCATCCCACCTAACCCACCCAACGAAAGACCTGGCAGGACATCCAACGAAGATGAACCGTGGTGACTGTCATCGACAGCTGACGACAGTTCGCTTTTGTGTCCGTCGTCTTCACGTGGGATGTGCTTCTGGTCTTGTTCGAGTGCTCTCTCATGCCCTTTCTCCTTTATGCCTGTTGCCCCCATCTCCATCTCACGGTCTGCATCTCTGCTTTCTCTTCTTTCTCTTATGGGATCTCTCATTTCCCTCGCTGCCGCCTCTGCCACCGCTTCCCCCCCCTTTACCCTCCCATATCCGTGTAATGTGTTCACGATGGCGCTAAAATAGATGCCGCCCACGAAGAAAAAGAATGAAACAAACGTCTTAGTAGTGTACGCTTCGGTTGGGGGGAGTGAGGAAGGAGTAGATGGATCGGTTGTGGATCCGGAGCGCCATACGAACACGAGGATAGAGGCAATAAAAAGGATCATGGACCTGCATGTATGCGGCATGAGAAGTAAAGGGGAAAGCAGAGAGGGGGGCAGAAGAGAGCACGATCACGTACCAAGCCAACCACACCCCAGGCAATGCCAGCATTATCCAGACGTTCCAAAGTATATTTGTACTTGTTCCCTGCACTTCTTGCGCCCACCTTGTGGCCTTATACATGCTTTTCATGGTCGAAAATTGGACGATGTATATGCACCCGTATGAGAGGGACATGAGTGCGAAGGTAAGCGAGAGCAGTGCCATGGAGCGTATGGCGGGGTTGCAGGCGATTTCTTGGTTCGTGAACATAGACAGGGTGGCTCTAAGAGATAATGTGATAAAACGGGTGTAACACATACATACATATGACAATCACTTACGACAGTAACAGTGCGGAGACGAGGTTGAGCGTCTTCCATTCTCGGAGGAGAGAATCGATGAACGACTCCCACGAATTTTTGAATCTGATCAGCTGCTGACTCTCGTTTCCTGTTGTCCAGTCATCTGAAAACGGTAGACCGTGATCGTGACGATGTACATTGGCCATCTGTGGGATGGGGCTCATCCTTGCACGCCGATCCTGATTGGCTTGGCATGCACGGATCAACCTGTTGATACGGAGACCCTTGCAATCCTCGAGAAGTACAAGGAGGGAAGTCCCAGCATCAAGAGCAGATATGCCTGCCTGAGCATATTTGTGAGACAATCCCTCGCCCCATATTTACGAATTGGTTCTATAGGATTTCAACAGGTGAAGCAAAAAAAAAGGGAGACGTGACCGGATCGACTGACTCTGTTTGATATCTAGTCCCTGGTTGACGGGGTCTACAGGTATGAACGGTGGTTCCTGGCGGTGACGTCCCCACCGGGAAATCTTGTATGTGGGCGAGATTGGTGATCTCTGCAAGTCCGGTTGTCTGCGCTGTGACGCGGTGGAGATAGTTGGGATATGGATACGTAGACCACTTGAAGAGGAGGGAGTGGCATCCTGACGGAGCAGAAGGGGTGAGGAGGTGTGACGTGCGGGACTGTTGGGGAGTCTGAAAGGTAAGTTTGAGCCTGGGGATAGACTCGGAGGACAGGTGGTCGACGATCCTGAGGCCATATTATTTTCGTTGGTTACTGTCCTGGGGGTATTTAAACATCTTGAGGGTATTCTGGTGTCCCTCCTGGTGGTATCAACGGGTCTCCGCCTTCTTCTTCCATCTTAGAAAACGCCGCTGAACAGTCGTGACATTCCAAATGATCATACTAGAACAAATACGGTCATACTTGGCCATTGATAACAGATAACCGCCAATCTATTAACACTCGTTGCTTAATGAAAAGAAAAATCAGAAGGGCCATCGCTGCCTCGGTGCTTCTATGGTTTTGTTCCGTACCTGAACAAAGTGTCGCACAGCTCGAATGAAAACTGCATGTACACACGCCTCACAAACCCTCATTGTGAACAAGGATACCAACATGACATCCTTGCTCTACCTAACCCGATGACCTTCATGGTACAAAACACGTACCTGTCAGACTCGGAAGAACGACGCCGCCAAGAAGATGCCGGCGGTATGTCACGTGACATCTCAGGGGGCTGTCATGCAACGGAACTTTAATCGGCCTCGGGTGACCTCGCTGCAGAGTCTGCTGTTGTCGACAGAGGGACCACCCTGGTTTGGTCGTGTTTGGCCTTGGCTATTCCCTACCACCCCGCCTCCCCGTCGCCACTGAATCCTCCCAGCTGGTCGACCTTGGATGGCTCATCCACCCAGATCCATCACCAACTCCAAATACAAGTCAGGTAATGGATGACTTCAGCGAATGCCATTCCATCGCGATAAGAATGAGGATCAACTAGAACAATAAAAAAAAAGAGAGACACGCAGGTCGTGGTGTATATTCATGCTTCGAAAATGTCCATTCGAATTTTTTGATGACGACTGAGTGTCTGCGGTTGGTCGATGAGGTCACGCCGTGACACACTTAGTCACGCCCTCATACACATGCCCCTAGCTGGATATATTTGGAAGGTGCCGTTCAGCCGCCTTATTTAAGTCCGACTAAGAACGTCGGAGGGGGGAGGCTGCCGTTGCATTCCCCCGGAGTACCACCAGAGCAAAGGGGACCACCGGAATACCATCGATACCACTCAAGACTTGCAAGAATACCCAGCAAGAATGGCCTCGTCGACCCCCTTTCCATCCACAGCCTCAGACTCGCCCAACAGATATCCCACCAACACCCGCACACCCCACTCTCAACTCCACCACCCACTCCTCAGAGACACGCGTTCATCAGACCCCACTCGTCCCTCTCCATCCTCGTCATCTCCTCTACGCGTCAACGTCAATGCCCCAAATACCGCCTCACCACGCAAACCACCCAGCCTGATCGACTCCCCGCCAAGGTCTGCAGCACGCTCACGACCGACCTCGCCCATCCGCGGCATACTCCAGTGGGGACTTCACCGCCAAGAACGTGAACGCGAAACGCCCTTCGTACCAGTAGACCCCTTCAGCAGGCGGTTTCGCAGGTTCTCGTTATATAACAGTCCAGACGTCGAACAGGGCCATCGCCCATTCGTCGACCCCGTCGCGTGCGAAGAATCCCTCTTTTTCTGTTGCTTCCCCTGTCCGAATCCTAGAGACCGCATCCGTAAACACGCTCAGCGCGCGAAGGATTTCATCACAGACACGCTCCCAAGACAAGTATACCTACACCTAATGCTACGACTCCCTTCCTTGTATTTCTCGCGCATCGCGAGGCTCTTCGAAGAAGCCGAAGTCAGTCAGCCAGATATCGACAGGTTACTCCGTGCATGTGAAGCCAGCAACCGTACCTGGGATCGACGTGCAAGAATGAGCCCCATTCCACAGACGCCTAATGTATATCATCACGATCACGGTCTACCTTTTTCGGACGACTGGACTACGGCAAACGTAGGTCCTGCACTGGTCAGGTTCAAGAGTTCCTGGGAGTCCTTCATCGATTCCCTCCTCCGAGAATGGAAGACGCTCAACATCGTCTCCGCACTACTACTCTCGTAAGTGACATTCTATGCGTCTCACATCCATCTCATCACACCTTCTCTTAGAGCCATCCTGTCCATGTTCCAAAACCAAGAAATGTCCTACGACCCCCTCGTACGCACGACGGCACTCCTCTCGCTCACCTGCGCGCTCATGTCCCTCTTGTACGGATGCGTCTACATCATCCGATTTGCCACCATGAAAAGCATGTACAAGGCCACGCGGTGGGCACAGGAAACACAGAGAACCACAACATTCATTTTGTGGAACGTCTGGGTAATGCTGGCGTTGCCCGGGATATGGCTGGCTTGGTGCGTCTCCCCCTCTCTCTTCCCTTCCTCCTCCCTTTCTCATCGCGCATATATGCAGGTCCATGATATTTTTCATCGTCTCTATCCTCGCTTTCGTATGGCACTCCGGGTCCACAACAGATCCGGCCACACCTTCCCCACTCAGCCCCAACGCAGCAATTGGCCCCCGAGTGCTCATCTCAGCCTTTTTCTTCTTGGGCCTCGTTTATTTTTGCGCGATCGTGAAGACGTTACAGGGGTACGGCAGGGTGAGCGGTACGACAAGGGACACAGAAATGGCGAGGGAAACGAGAGATGCCATCAGGGAAGGGAGGGATGGAGAGAGGGAGATGGAGAGAAGAAGCGAGAGGGGGAGAGGACGCGAAAGACGGCCTGGGCGAGGCAGAGCAAACGACCGCGAAAAAGACTGGAAACGCACCCCGCGTGAAGACGATGGACCCGAAAGCGAACCAGAGCCAATCTCTCGGACGTACAACCACGGTGGCGGTAATGACGATCGCAGTTCATCCGCTTTGGACGTCCTTCCGGGTCTCGGGTTGCGCGGACTAGAGAGTCCGCGTGCCTCGGATGAGCAGGGACGCGAGCAGGAGCGTACTCGAGATGTGGCTCGTGATGTCGTGTATGAAGAAGGTAGCCTAGAGAGTGGTGAGGGGAGAGAACATCGTGATGGAACTGCGAGTGTGTAAGTCGCAGGCGCCCGGTGTTGGAAGAAGAGGGGAAGGGGGCATAATAGCATATGTTACCAAGCACCCATTCGTGGGTACTTTTATTGGACCATCAGGGCACACCATGGCGTTGTATCGTTGATGGGGAGACAGTAGTACTCTGCGTGTTTTTCTTATTCCAGCAGTATTTTATTCGCTCGAGACACCGGAGTCGTGCGGCGCATCACGGATAACAGACAAAGCCAAGCAATATGTAGGTCTGTAAGCTAAACAGAACTGGACGTAAATTATCTCCGCGACTCGGTAGCGACATACATATTCATAATCCGATCGATCCTTTGATCGCATGTCCATAGCTACCCCTGTTGCAACGTGAATCTCGGAAATGTACATTTTGTGTGACCTCTTAACACACATCATGCATCATCTATCAATATGGCATGCAGATTTGCATCAAGTCCAAGTGTTTGCACATGTAGGCATGATTGCAAAGTTTCTATCAGCTACCCCACTCTAAAATGCAATTAGTGATGCATTGGTCCTGGCTTCAGAGGGCTTGGGCCTGTGATAGTAAATTATAGAAAAATGGAGATTTTCATTTTCTACAGTATTTGTACACTAGGCTTCTACATCTGAGTCATCTGAGAGTTCCAATATCCAACTTAGATCTTCTGCATCTGAACTGACAGTTGCAGAACCTTCTTTCTTCTCTTCAAATGCAAGTTCCAGAGCTGAAGAGAGAGCAAGTTCACAGAACATGAGGTTGCAATTGTAGGCATCAGTAAATTCCTGGTTTTAGCACAGTATTCATGGGGTGTTACAGGTCACCCACAGTGTAATGGTCCCATGGCTAGCATGGCCCACACTGTCCCACACCATCCTACAGACTCACAGTGCAACAGCACCACAGCATCACAGCAGTACAGTCCCCCACAGGCACCCACATGTAGGTTGCTGAGCTTGGTAGCTATTGTTGGTAGTCTGTACAGTTGGTATTTTCACTTGTTACTTGCTACCAGGTAGTGCTAGGTGGTAGTGAGTTGGTAGTGATTTAGTAGTAGAACTTCTTTAGCCTGTAGCTCACCCACTTTTGTGAATTGTGGTGAAGCAAGCACACCACTGTGATCATCCTGTCAGGAGCTATAACATTACTTATGATGTCATCACAATCTAATGACATAATATGTTGAAAGACTTGTGATTTTCCAAGTATTTTGTGTTTCTCTCATGGATTTTTGCATTTCAACTACAACTTTCATTATGACATCACCATTCTGTGACTACTTCCTGTGGTTCTACATTTTTCACTACCAAAAATGTAGTGGTTGGTTGGGTAGTGTCTGCATTTTCGATTACCTGATTAGTGTTGTGCTATATAGTGTCTGCATTTTTGACTACCAAAAAAGTGTAGTGTAGTTTAATGTTTGTTGTAGTAGACTACTACCAATTTGATTCTCACAAGTTAATAGTTGAATGGAATAGCCCTAGAGTGCACTTTTTTGATTACCAAGAAAGTGAACTTGATTAGGATTGTTGGTTAGTGGGCTAGTAAACTACTACCAATCTGATTACCACAAGTCAGTAGCAGTACAGAATAGCTCTAGAGTCAGCATTTTTGATTACCAACAAAGTGTAATTGATTAGGGTCATCGGCTAATGGGCTAGTAAACTACTACCAATTTAATCACCACAAGTTGGTAGTAGTATGGGATAGCCCTATAGTGCATGTTTTGTAGTGTAGTGATTACTGAAAAAGTGTACTACTACTAGTAGTCTAGTAGATGATTACAACCTGTGAATGAATAACCCACAGTCCAAATCAAAAGCAGTGAAGACAAAGATGAGAGTAGGTGAAGCCAATGAAAGGACATGAGGTCTCTGCAAGAGAAAGAGACTTTAGACATGAAGTCCTAGCATAGAATGAGATGCTAGATTTTGCAAGTTCATGAATAGCTCTGGTCAAGGCAAGGACTGGGTCTTCAGGTGACTCATCTGGGTCTTTGGGGTCATCCCCATCACCATTGCCCCCACCATCAGGCCTGTCATCAGGATTATTGTCTGGAAGCTTGACCCCATGTAGTCCATTTAGTCACAACATATAGGTAGCCTGTGTGCCAAAATACCAACACTTATATAGACCCTGCAATGGGCCTGTCTAAATAGATTAGCCATGACACATGGACAGGCCTGAGGGCCTATAGTGAGAGCAACATATGTATGGGCCTGTAAGCATAATTCCACAACATATGGGAGGGCCTGTGGAGGGTAAGGATGCTGCAACATATAGACAGGCCCACAACCAATTAAGTATGCTGAGCTACTGTAAGACATGGACAGGCCCATCCATGGTAGGGTGCACCCCAGTCACAATATCAGGATGGGCCCACCCATCATATGCTTTATAGGGTCACAACATAAAGAGGGGCCCCTCTATGATAGATTACAGAGTTGGCAACATATGGAAGGGCCCATCTTTGGGATAATATACCCCTGTCACAACATAAGGATGGGCCCAGCAGTAATATCATTGACAGTGTCACAACACATAGATGGGCCCATCTAGTAAGATGCATCCCTGCCACAACATAAAGACAGGCCCATCAGTAATGTCATTTATAGCATCACAACATATGGACAGGCCCTTCTGTAATACCATTTATACCATCACAACACATGGGTGGGCCTGTCCATAGTAAGATGTACCTGTTGCAACATAAAGACAGGCCCTTCAATATATATCATTTACAGGGTCACAACACATGGACAGGCCCATCTAGTAAGATGCACCCATGCCACAACATAAAGACAGGCCTTTCAGCAATATCAATTACATGGTCACAACACATGGGCAGGCCTGTCAATAGCAACATGTATAGTGTCACAACATATTGATCAGATCACAGTAAAATATTGAGGCAAGCATCCTGAGATGCCATAATTTTGCAACAAGCTGCAAGTGGCTCACCCACTATACAACTCTGACCTCATCCACCCCAAGCATGAATACTATGCATGACATGTCTAAAACCCCCCACAGATGGCAAATGGAACTAACAGACTGCATTGTGTCATACATGAAAGCCAGATTTCAAGAGGAGGTATTCAGCAGACCTTGTGCCCTTCCAGATATATTGATTCTGTTTCTGGTGTTATGTGAAGCAGATTGCATATTGTCAGTAATCTCACAGGCCTATTGTCACCCAAGTAAGTCCATCATAATGGTGTGATGGAAGTTTTCATCTTTCCACAGTAAATATCAGGAAAAATCAGGGTGGGAAAACCTGCAATGCAGAAGCTGCTGAGAGATACACAGAACTGACTGAGCTGTCCATTCTGGTGACTGACTTAAACACTATCTGTGTATGGTATTTGCTGGATGCTCTCAGCCCAAAAAGAAGGGTAAGGAAATGCAGAATCTCATATTCTACTGACTTGAATGGCAGGCCGACTTATGGAACTGCCTTCATCTTCTGAGGGAACCACTGTGGGAGAGCATAAAGGGTTCCCCACAGGCATGGCAGACTGTCAAGTCATATTTCCATGATAATGCTGAGTTGAAAGGCACCATCAACCTGTCACCCACGTGGTTTCAACAGGGTCATGGGGTGGGTGATCATTTCTTGCCTTGTGAATAAAGTGCTCATCCATCTTGAAGCCCCAAAATGGCTTCCCAGAAGCCTCATGGCTGCTCAAATCCAGGATGGAAAACACTTCTACAAGGGAATGGGTTGACCAAATGTCTGACACCAATGCCCTGTTATCTGCAATCCTGCATGTCTTCCATCCATGAATGTATGCAGATGGCTGGGAAGTGTTGATCTGCCTTTGCAAACAGGTGGAACAGCAGGCAGATTCAGATATGAGCTGCATACTGCTGATATGGAACTCCATGTATAGCAGCATGTCCATGATGGTGGATCAGGCAACTTGTTACCACAGGGATATCAATGGACAGGATCCATGGTATGACATGCTGGTAACCATGGGCAACTACCTGCCCTTGGACTTTGTCATTCCAACATTGAATCTGCAGCTGTGCTACAACCCAGGGATGATCATTGCATTTTCAGGTTCAGCATTGGAGCATGGGGTGGGAGCTTTAGATGGTGACAGAGCATGCCTGGCATACTACATGTGTGCCAATGTGCATCAGTCAGTGCATGGTCCCATGTGTTAATCACCATGGATGGATGACCTACTACCTAGACCAGTTGCAACTGGAGAACTGTTGATTTGAAGCTGCAAAATTTAATGTAAGATTTAGTAGGTGATGCAGATCTTGTATTTTATTAGGATATGCTGGCTCTCAAACTTCGGACAGGTGGTGTTGCCAAGATTTTGCAAATGGGCAGGTGCTTCAACATCATAGATTGGGTGGGTACTCAGAGCTAAAGGGTGTGCATCATAAACTGCAAAAAAAGTAAACCTACTCAGGCCATCATGCAGATGGGTGAATTGTCAGACATTGTGCAGATGGGCAGGGGTTCAGACATCATGTGAATGGGCAGTATCTCATAAATGATTGACATTCACAGCAATGTATATACAACCAACTCCACAGTCAAAAACATGTAAACTATTGAAGTGGCATGCCCAACAACCCACACAATGCCCACCACCTAGCATAGAAATGGTCAATTTGTTGACCCTGACCATTGACAACATCAGCATATTTCCAAATATTTCAATGCAGTAGTTTACCTGCTCCTTGATATGGCCATTGAGACAGTCTGTGATTGGCTCCTCAGGCAATGGCCATAAGCCCTGGGCCATCATCAACTATTTGCAGTGATGAGAATAAGCAGCATACCTTAAAAAAATCCCAGGCTGCAGAAAACAATCCCTTGCCTTGCAATCTTTGGGAATCCATTGTGTATTCCTCCAAATGATATAGCCACCAAGGGAATGCAAAGCTGGAATTGGGATCAGCTGCATGTGGGGTCCAATGCAGGATGATGGTGCTGATATTGTTGATTATGCAAAATGTGCTAAGGGGAATTAGTTGCATTTGATTGTGGAAGCTAACCTCATCATCTTGGTGTCTGAGGTACACATGGTAGCATGCCAGGAGGGGAGGAGTATAACTGGCATGCAACACCATCACCAGAATCAAGCTATTAAGCTGATTCTGAAGGAATTATGTATCAGTCCCACATTGTGAAAAATTGATGTAAAACCTACCAAGTCCATTGCTAGGTTTGCAAACCAATGCACAGGCCATCCCATGATATTGGCAGTCTGCTTCAGA